ACAACAGCTATGATATCCCTTGTTCCACGTCCTCTTCTGAATCCGGCTTGAACCTCTGGAAGTTCTCTGTCAATATACTGCTGCAAACATTTCTGCCTATGGACAACCACAAATGTGCAAGGATGTGATATAACGTCTTATGACCATGGGAGAAGCTAGCCAACATAGTGAGGCCAGCTAAGCAGGGACATGAAAATAACCCTAGTCTTCACGAGCTGAGGAATTAACCAACCCTTAAAACTGATTGTGTGTAATGAGACAAATGACTCCCTTATTGCTCAAATCATTTTGCACTGAAGTTTCTATTTCTTGTAGCCCAAACCATCCTAAATGATACAATACCTCTTGGAGAGGTAAGAAAGGGCTCTGCCTCTCTTGACAACACCCTAGCAACAAAGAAATAGTCATTTTTCTCAAAGATTTATTTTTTTCTCAATGAGTGTGCTGGGAAAACCAGTTGTGAGAAGGTATTTTTAATACCTGCTCCTGATATTGGGAATTTTTTTTCTCTTCCCTCCCCCTCTACCTGATAAAAAACAGAATCACACAGTTGGCAGGAAGCTGAGAAAAGACAGGCTCAAAGAGGTTGAATGATTTGCATGCACAAGGTCCCAGAACTTACAGGGGCTGATTTTCTTTATTATTAAAAATCCTTTATGCAAGATTTCAAAACAAAGCCATTTCTGAAAACTCAATTTAATGCAAAGTTGCATTGCAAAGACTTGGGAAATCAAAACTGGATTTTTATTTTTTAAAACTAGTTTCATTACAATAATAAAATCTCCTTTTGAATTCACTGTTTTGAGTTTCTTCTTCCTATTTCTAATACTCTCCTAGATCCCATACATTCCTGTCAACACCATCTTCTCTCTCCTAGAAAATGCCTGCATATGGCCCATTCTCTCAGCCAGTGGTTCTCAGGAGATTATTTGCATAATAGTTACCTGGGAAAAAAATTAGAAATACAGATTTCCAGGCAGACTCTGATTTAATAAACCCAAGGTGGGGCTCAGGAATGGCAACACAAACAAGCATCTCAAGTAATTCTGACACTGGTAGCACCCTAACCAGGCTTTGAGGCACATGGCTCTACACTGTATACTAGACTCCAAGTTCTGAACAGAACTTAATTATCATAGTAGATTTAAGCAGGTACAATAAAAATATGTTCATGGTTGCCTGTAATTTTTATATTCCCACTGAGGTCTAAACAAACCCAACTGCTCTGTGATTTAGATGCATCCTGGTAATCATTTGCTTTGGAGTTTTTGGATTTTTATCCATTCCTCTTGAGACTTTATTCCCCCCACCTCTGAACGTATTTCTACCTGGAATTAAATATAAATTGCCTTAACTCTCTCTCCACGGCCAAAGGAAATTAATTTTGAAAATAATTCAAAAGAGTAATTTTAAAAATATACAATACAAAATGACTTGCCTTTGAACCAGAAGTCTGAGATGCACAGGGTAAACACAGTAGGTAATGAGAGAAATAAACAGAACCAGCCCTGAAACCAAAACTTCGGAAGGAAGCTGACTGTTAAGTAAGTGGACCAGAGGAACAATAGCTCAGGCGTACCCTAGGGTCAGTCTGAACCCGAGAAAACTGGGACGATACACACAAATGCCTTGTCTCAAGTTAACCTTCCTTTACTGCTCGATTTAAAAGAAGGACAGTGCTGTAAATGAGCATGTAGAGTTTTGATGGAATTTTAGAAGTCCTCTGGGTACGAAAGAATTTTTTCAAGCCTAAATAAATACTCCTTACTAGATCCAACACTGCTCATTCATACCCATCTCCTCCTAGCCATGTTTAAATCTATAGGCTCTGGAAAACAAGAATTTGGCATACTGAGAACCTGAGTCTGCGTGTTCACACACCAGCTCTGATCAACTCATATTACAGCCATGAGAGCTTGTCTACACCTAGATTTCTCCATGGGTAAATGAAATACCACAAAACCTAAGAAAATCATTGCTAACTATAAGACAGAATGCTTGAGAAATGCTGTATTGTAACTCCAGCAATAAAATGGTTTAAATTGGTTATAAGGCAAAGAGTCTAGGCCATCACTGTACCCTGCATATTTGGGTTATGAAAAAAGATGGACTGAGGGGCAATAAGCTGGAAAAAGAGAAAGTCAACTACCCACCAGTGTGCAGGGTCCACTGTTCAAGATTTACTTTAAGGTTTTTGTGTTTTTCCTATTTTTTTTTGTTTTCTTCCCTTCTTCTGCTTATTTAGGATTCCTAACAATCCTCAGGGCAATTTGAAAACGGGAAACATTCAATACTGGCCCCATGCCCTTTGCTGGATCACCATTTACTCTTGGTCTCTCTTAGTCCAATTAAGGTCTCATTCCAATTGCACAGCTTGAAAAGACCCACTGCTTGCAGCTGGTCCCTAAGCCTTCTCTGCCAGCTGCTCCCAGCAGGCTTGGAGGCCTTGTGAAGACCCAGTGGCTATAAAGCAGTCACAAGTATACACACAAATACTTGGCTGAAGTGTGTACCTAGAATTTCCTCTGTTATAGCGAATGCCCTTCAAGTATGCAGAGTTTTGCAACTAAGATCTAAACCAGCTTCTTCCTTTAACAAATGCCTGACTCTGGGGTTATGTGGAATAGGCACCAAATTATAATTTTAGAGCATCTGGAATGACTTTTTAAAGTGCAGCTCCCATTATTTGAAACACACTTCATCAAGATTTTTTGACATTTTGGGGGCATTCTCCCTGCAAACTTGCATGTTTTCTGCTGTGTTATTTAATTGTTCCTGAACATGCAATTCTGCTATAGCATGCCAAGAAAACACTTTGACCAGTAAAGGAGCAATCCCTGATTCTGCCCAATTGCTTCTCACAAACACCTCAAACATTCTCATTCATTCATAACTAATGCACATGGAAATCTTTATGGTAACATATATATTCTCTCTCCAACAAGTAAATCAAATGTTTGACAGCAATAAGAAAACTAACCATTCCATTTTCCCTCAGCAGGGTATCAACTTAGCCCAAAGAAATGACTTCATGGCATGAACAAAGTAAGAACAAAGCAGCCAAGGGCCAAATTTATAACTCACAAGTTGAATAGAATTTAGGGCTTAATGGTTTAGATGAATTGTTATACTCTCAATCTTTTCTTGGACTCTGGTCCTCAATCAAGAACATTCTACCAAAGTCAATGCAAGGTTAGAACATAAACACCGTAGTGACTAACACAGCAAGGGAAGGTGTCAAGGCCTTTCCTAAAAGGGTCAAGCAACAGTAAACATACAGAAATCTAAAACCATTCTAGGAGTGTAAATACTCCCAGCAGGAAAACCAGGCCCCAGTGAATGTTCTGATTCTCTCCAAGGGCAAGCAGGCATTTGCCCAAATCTAATCTCTTTATTCTCTATACTTTTCAAAAGGTTTTAACGCAGGTAATTTCGTTACCAATGATCTTATAGATAAAGTGAGGCCCAGTATCCATATTTCAAAGATCAATAAAATAAGGAATAGAAAGGTTAGTGGCTTATCCAGGGCTGGTTATGTAGTTTGTTAAGAACAGAGTCAACTCTAGAACCCAGGTCTTCTTACTCTAAATCTAAAGTCCAAACCTGTGACATGTAACTGTTCACCTTTCATCATAAGAAAATATAACCCCTGAAAATTCTGCTTGGTGGTCTTGGTATCACAGACTACCGTATTCCTTTGATCATCGTAAGAGCAAAGATATCAAGAAAACTCGGCCTGGTGACATGGGCATTTCCCCAGTCTCCTCTGTGAAGTTCATTTGGCATTGGTCTCTGTTATCCACGGCAGTTAACATTTCACACGTTTCTTTCTTAAGCCTCCAGCATACCTCATACAATTTCATAGTGGGAGGAGGAAACAAAAGCAGAATTGAGACCAACTTTACTGCTCAGATAAGAATATTCTAGGGGCAAGAAAAGAGCAACCAATCTTGAACCTACTTGGCCAAGTGGTTCATAAGCAGCTGTAACATCTGCCGATTTTTCTCTGGGAGCCGATGAACAAGGCTGTGGATTTCAGAGACCCGAGATTCTTGGTTCTCCAGCTCTGCAAAGGAAGGCAGGAGTTAATATTTTATCAATGTCACAGCTAAACTAGTTTAGAAGACAAAATCAAAGGAAACTAGGGCTAGGCTCTAACAAACTGAGGATTTATCAAAGATTTATGATCCTGTCCTGTGTACTGCATGAATAGGTCCAGAAGTCTGTTTAATGGTGTTTTCTGTAACACAGTTCATCAAAAAAGTGGCCATCAATAAATTCAAGCCAAAATGATGACATGATGAAATGGATCCAGTCATCCGTACACCCAGAGTAGGAGTGAACTCAGAAGCAGCTGGCTATCTAGTGACGACTTCATTTCAAGGAAGGAAGGAACTTTATGCACTCATAAAGTGATAAACAAATTGGACATGAATAACATTACAAGAGTCTCAAATATCAAAATAACACCTTAAGACAGCACAAATGAAATCAAAGGAAATGCTAGTTATTCTCAAGTCATGTGTGACAACCAGTCTGGTAGAAACAAAGCAGTGGCAGATAAAATTTTTAAATCTATCTTCCAACCTGTAACCTAAATCATGGCCTGTCATGTTCTCTTGGGTAAACTTGGGTAAGTGGCTTCCCTTCTCTGGGAAATAGACCGATGGTGCTCACCACACCTATTTATAGGACTCATGTGAGGTTTAATTAGAGAATGGTTGCTATGAGCTTGGAATTTCTCTGAGAGAGAAATCACATAAACACCATTTTGACTTCTAGTTTTCTCCCATGTCTTTCTCCTCCTTGTTTTAAGGGAATAACTATTAAGAAATAAGGCCAGTAGTAGCTACCAGGATAAACAAACTCCAAAGGCTTAAAGAAACAAGGAGAGGCAAACATTATCAACAGAATAACACTGTAAGGATCCAAGCCAGATTTAAATCTGACAGAGAATCTTCTTGCTCCCTTTCAGGAGGCTTGCCCTACGTAGATGGATTCCAGTATACTTAGGGCAGCTTGCACCTAATCCTTATGTATTTTAATACCAGCAATATGACGCTAGAAACCTGGGTGATATAGCTGAAGAATGATCAGAAGCTGTAAATGGAAGACATAATGGAAAAAGGACTGTGAAGTTACATAATAGTGTTGTATTCAGGGAAACACTTCCAATTCTCAATTTAGATAATGTGCAATGTCTGATTCAGTCTGCAAAATGCTGCTCAAGGGCTAAAAAAAACACACAAGTAGGTAGAATTCCAGTAAAAAAAAGAAACAACTAGAAAGGAAAATTTACCATTTTTCCCCTCTTGCTTCTCCAACCAAAAAAAGAAAATAATAGTTCGAAGTTTTTCTCCTCTACTATAAATTGACAAGGCCCTTAGTAATCTTGATTTGGTTTCATTTTCATTCTGGATTATAGTCTGTTGACCTTGTATGTGGGCAGTTTACATGTAGCATATAAAGGATTAGATATTTATTTTGGGATACTGACTGTTCTTTAAAATAGGAAAATCTATTCTCTTCCCCCTTCAAGCTATGACAAAAAAAAAAAAAAAAAAACAAACTCACTTGCTGCTTTGATGAAACTTCTCTGAAACTGGTACATCATGAGTGGTCCTGGAAGCATTCTGGAATAAAAGGATACAGACGAGTCAGTTTAATAATAAAATAATAATCATATCCTTTCTAAACAGCAGCCTAGAGACTGCCAAAGTGTATTACATTTCTCAAAGATCACAGAAGAATGATACCAACTCAACTTCATTTCCCAACTGAAAGGGCCCTGAGATTTCACCTGAAATTTTCATTCTCTCTTTCTGTCTTTTTTTTTTCTTAAAGGGAATGAGTACAACTATATTTTATAGTCACACCTAGAAAAGTGCTAATACAAAAGTCTAATACAAACCAAGAGATTTCTTTTTCAGTCTGTGACTCACCCATCCACAAGAGCATTTTAAGATGTGCCTAAGAAACAGACAACTAACAATTTGCAACAATGTGTGCCTAAATGCTCATCTTCTCAGCAGCTTGTTATCTGTATTAGTTTCTCCGGGAACACTATAAGAGACTTTTGCAGTTGTATTTGTGTTGAACTCACCATGGGGTGACACTTCAGATGCAAAAGGGCTACTAGAAGCTCTTAATAGCAGGCATTCCACAAGTAAATTTATACCTGCCACGGTATGAATGTGTTTAACTGTAAACTTGAGTTTTTTTCTGACAGCCCAAATAAACTTCTGCATAGATCTCATTTTATCCTCATTGGATCTTCTAATTCAACACTTAGTCATAACTTGTACTACATCTTACTCTTGAATTCAAGATCCTCCTATCAATTCCCCAATACCCAGTAAAACCTGCATTGCTAATTCCTTTTCTGTGACTTCTGCCTTTGTTTTCTAGCCAAGCAAATCGCCATAAGCCTCTATCACATGCTTACACAATTCACGATTACAGTTCTCCTCTCTGCTTAAGACTAGACTCCACCTTCCCGTGTCACAAGAACTACAGTGAAGAACCACAGTATTCCTATCCTTCCAGTCCAGCAGAAATTTCAATCCATTTATGAAGCTGGCTGACTAAATGTAGACTGTCCATGTAGCTGTTCATTCACCACTTGTAATAGTCAAGGGAGGTGGGGTGAGAGGAAGCCATATATCATATGTGTTATTACAAAGGAAAATCGTCTTCTCTCCAGTAAAGTAATATTTTCCAATCGAAATGGAAGGAGCCATAAAGAAGTTCCATTAAGTTCTAACTTTCAGGGACCAATGTCAGCAATATATTCTGTGCAATGCACAAACTATCAAAATACATGGGGGATGTGATCATGCACTTTCTACAGAATGTGATACATGATTCCTTGGTTTCTGAAAAGAGTATTCAAGGATTTCAAGGAAGACCATATTTTAGATTAACCAACCAAAAACACATTACAAGGGCCCCTTTATGCAGGCTCATTATCACAGTTGCTTCTTATAAAGAGCAAAGCTTCCTAAATCACTCATGGTACCAATGCATAATGGTAAGCTATCAACTATGGACGATTTACAATCGGTTTGACCAGCTGAACTAATTGCACCCACACAGAAGCTGCATCCACATCTCAAACACCCACCCAACAACTAATTCTCTGAAGGCTGAAAATAAAACTGCTTTCTTCCTGATCGGATGATAGCAAGCTGGCAGCCTGCCCTGTAGATGGAAAGTCCCTACCTTAGGTAGGTCTTCAGAGCACTCGTGATGGTCTTTATCTCCCATTCGGCACAGATATCTGTTTCTGTTTCAGAAGCTGTTTTGGGGTCTAAAACAAAGAAAAGACAACATGTACAGCAGAGAATACAGCTATACAGAAAAAATACAACAAGACATACATAAAAGGGTTCAACCTTACTAGTAACCAAAGAAACACAAATGAAAACAAAGACAGCATGTATTTTTGCCTAAATTAAGAAAATGTTGAAAAATCTAAGTATCTATTGCTGGCAAGGATGCAGTCAGACTGATCCTCTTTATGAACTCCTAAAGGCAGTGAAAATAAATGCCATAGATTTGAAAAGCAATTTGGCAATCTGAATCAAGAGTCATAAAAAGTTTATATCCTTTGAACCAGTAATCCTACTTCTCACAATCTCTCCTCAGGAAATAACTTTAGGCAGGAGAAAAGTTATATACCCAAAAGGTGTTCAGCATACATGATTCTTCACATCAATGGGGGGAGGGGAGGAAGCAACCTAAATGTCCAATGGTAGGATGATTAAGTTAATCGTGTGTACCTGATAGAATATAATGTAGCCATTTCTGTGATAATGATTTATAGCCAACATGGAAAATTCCTATATTACCATGTAATTCAAGCAAAAAACTGAAGATACAAAAGTTTGTGATAGATTTTTATTTACAAAAGTTTGTGAGAGACTTGTATGTACAAAGGCTAAAAAGAAATATTCTAAAATTAAAACAGTGGTTGGGTTACCATGGTGGAATTACGGCCTTTACATTTTCTAAACTGACTATGATTTGATTTCATTACTTTTATGTTTTTGGAAAGTTGCCTGACGCACAGATATATAATGAGATACACTGTAATTATATCAAGTCCTGATAATTTTCTCTTTAGTCTCCTCTTGCTTGCACTTTTAAATACATGTGTGTATTTCAAATAAATATGTATTAAAAGAGAGGAAACAAATTATTTAGTCTTCCTGAGCAGCACATAAGAAGGTAAGAATAGAAGGCAGAGAATGGGAAGTAAAAATTGCTTTACTAGTCAGCAGAACATCATCTTGTCACTGGAGAGATGATTGGGTCACATACAAACTGGCGAGTGGGGAGTGGCACCTTTCAGTACACTTACAGGAGAGCTCAGCTCTCTCATATAGGCTAAAGCCTAGTTATTTGTCTCCAGGTCCATTCCTTTTCTTTGTGCACAGCCTCTCATTTTCAGCTGGGAGGCCACACTTTTCTTACTCCTTGTACATGTATTTGGGTGAAGCTCCACCCTCCAGGGGTGGAGAATGAGATTCAGAACAAACGAATCAAAGCATAGCATCTCTCTGCACAAGGTAACCAGTTTAGGGATGGACCAAGACCTAAGCAAGTCCAATCAGAGTGAACTTCAAGAAATTTTCATGAGTAGGGGAGGAGGAGGGACACATCTGCTGTTTCTGCTGGGCTTGCACCTGGGATGTTATGCAACAGCCAGGTCCCATCAAGTACAGCCTGAGTTGTTGTTGTTGTTGTTGTTATGTGCTGTCGAGTCGGACCCAACTCATAACGACCCCTTCTTGGGTTTCCGAGGTGTATCACTACAGAAGTAGATTGCCTAACCTTCTTTCTGAGTAGTGGCTGGTGGGTTTGAGAGTGAGTCCAAAAGACAAAGTCAAAGTAGAGAGAGGTAGAGATACTGGGTTCTGATGACATGTTTTGAGCCTTTATGCCTGGCCGTGCTTTTTCAATTACATGAGCCAATTAATTCCTATAAGCCAGTGAAGGCCAGGTTTTCTGTTTTTATAATCCAGAAAGATCTAATAAACCAGGTAAACAGAGAGAGCCACTGGACTGTTTCCAAGAATTCTGAGAAGCCAACTAAGAAAGAGTTTCCTCTTGCAGGGCCAACAGCATTTTACATATGGGCTACCACAATTTCTATTTACTAGGAAAAAATGGGAAAGAATCTACTTCCATAAGTAGAGGCCAAATATTCTTGACTGACTTAAGGAGTTGGCCTATAATTCCCAGGTAAGATCACAAATTTTTTCTCAGCGTGGCCCTGAAAGGGCACCAGCTTGTAAAATGTTTGGCTCCTAAAGAGGTAACAACTGTGTGATGCTGCAGGTGACCCTGGGCAATAAACTCTTGTCACATGAAACAAATAAGGAAGAACTTAAGGAGCACGGTTTTACTTCTAGGGCCACAGAATAGGAAATTCCATAGGGTTCTTCACGGCAAATTTCTGAAAATGCACAAACTGTGATTTTCCTAATATCCAAAATCTCTTCAGCTTTCATTCTCTCCTTTCTTTGTCATCTCTCACTCACTAAATGGTTTCCTCCATCAGAAGTGCATGTACCAAAAAACTTGGCTCACTGTGACCTTTTTCCTCCCCGCCCCCCCAGGATGCATGGAGAGCTGCCACACTGCATGGCTCCTGGATGCTAGACAAACGTTACCGTACATTTTTTCTGAACAAACCAACTTCTACCCAAGAAGAGTGAACATGACACTAAACAAGCAGCAGTTGGCAGGTCTGGGAGTTGTGAACTGTTCCATGAACCACATTTAGCAAACTAATGATTAGCTTCCACTTATTCAGGCTCCTAACCATAGGAATATTGTGTAACATCACAGAGAGAAGAGTCAAATTACAGCCCGGCTAAAGGGCTTTTTATAGCACAGATGAGGTAAGGCTCATAACTTGGGCACGTCCATTTTAATTCATTTAATATCCAAACTAAATTGAATACAGCCTCCCAAGCTACCCCATTTTCAAAAAGTGCTGCCAATTTCCACACCTCCCTAACCGACACTAGCAGCTCCCCTCACTTGCCGAACATGATGGTGTCTGAATGTGTTGCCAACACCTAATGCACAATTTTCTCTAGAACTCAGTATATTTCTTCCCACCATGGCACTTGACCACTGTGCTTGGCGAAAATGACCTAAACTAGAGGAAAAGTCCAAAGTACGAAAAGGCACTGTTGGATAAAAGAGAAACAGCATATTTCCTCTTCAACCTACTATAATATGAATTCAGAAAAACAGAAGGCAGCGACTGGAAGCAGAGGTTATAGGGGAAGGGATCTGAGAAATATGTTGGATCAGCCCCAAGATCCATCTAGTTTGGTACTGTGTAGCTGATACACTGAAGGACACTGTGGAGCAAATGATTAAGTTTATTTAACAAAGAAGGTAATACATGTACATGATTTAAAAAAGAGATAAAAGAAAAAAAAGAGAGACAGACATTCTAACAAAACAAATAGATACACATTAAAAGGTAAGTGTAAGTTTTTTCTACCTTAAAGGCAACTAATGTAAGTTTATGTCTATTGTTTCTGTAACAATCTATACACATAAAGCAAATTTTTGCTATTTTCATTTAATAGTATGGTAGAAATTGTTTCATATCAGAACACAAATATGTGTTTCACAGTATTTCACTGTATATATGTATCATAATTAATTTAATGACCCTATTGTACATAACTTACAAAGAAAGAAGCCTCAAGTTAAGTGCTCCATTGCAAACTGAAAGGTTGGTAGTTCAAACCCACTCACTGGTTCACTGGGAGAAAGACTTGGCAATTAGCTCCTGGAAAGATTACAGCCAAGGAAACTCGACGGGGCAGTTCTACTCTGTCACATGGGGTCACTATAAGTCAAAAGTTACTTGACAGCACCTGGTGGCATAATGCCTAAGGCATTGACTGCTAACCAGAAGCCTGGTGGTTTAAACCCACCAAGCACTCCTGGGAAGGAAGACTTGGCAATCAACTTACACAGAGATAATGCCTTGGAAACCCGAGGAAGTGTTGCTATGAGTTGGATCCAACTAAACAGCAATGAGTTTGGTTTGTTTGGGTGGTAACAACAACAATATAACTGACCTGAAGGAGAAAAGTCCTAAAAGTGGAATTACTGGGTCAACAGGTATGTGCCTTTTTAACTTTCAAAGCTATTGCTCAATTGTCCTTCAGAGGTTTTACCATTCTAAGAAGGTATGAGAGTGACTCTTTCCCCACATCCTTGACAACAATGAATAATCAAGTACTTTACTCACCAATCTGATAGGTTAAAAATAAGACTATCATGACTCTGACCAGAATGTCACAAAACAAACCGTGTATAACTGTTGAATGTAAAATAAATCTGCTTCGTAAAACTTCACCCAAATCACGATTAAAAAAAGACTATCTCAATGCTCTAAATTCCATTTCTTTAATGAGGAGGGAGATTGAGAATCCCTTCCTGTATATCTGCATGTTTTTAAAGTCAAGTTTATTGAGGTACAGTCACCCTTGTTAAGTTTACATTTCCATGATTTTTGACAAATGTATATAGCCATGTAAACACTACTATAATCAAGTTATTGAACATTTTCATTACCCTAAAAAGTTCCCTTGTGACCCTTTATAGTGAACTCTTTCCCTCTACCTCCAGCTCCTGGCAAATGCTTTTACTTGAAATTCATCTATGTTGTTGCAAATATCAGGAGTTCATTCCATAACTAAGTAGTAATAAATTTTATGGATATGCCTTAGTGAATGTTGACAGTCATTTGAGTTGTTTTCAGTTGTTTCCTATGAATATTTGCATACAGATCTTTGCGTGGATGACAATTTCATCTCTTGGGTAAGAGGAACAGAACTGGGTAAAACAGCTGAGAAGTGGGTCATAAGGCAAGAAAATTTAACTTTATAAGAAACTGTCAAACTGTTTACCAGATGCCTAAGGACATTTTCCACACCCACTATCAATATACAAAAGTTTTACTTGCTTCAGATCCCCACCAACACTTGATAAAGTCAATCTTTTTTTTAATTTTAGTCATTCTAACCAGAAGGTTGGAGATTCAAAGCCACCAGCCACTCCTGAGAAAGAAGATTGGGAGATCTACTTCTGTAGTGATACCACCTCAGAAACCTAAAGAGGGGTCGCTATGATCTGACTCGATGGCAGTGAGTTTGGTTTGGAGTAAGTGTGTAACGGTATCTCAATTTTTAGATTTGTAGTTTTCTACTAACTAATGGGAAGCCCCTGGGTGGCACAAGCAGTTACGCTCTCAGCTACTAACCAAAAGAC